CATTTTTAATAGTGGAATGCAAGATATTATTATTACCAAATTTCCTTAAGCCTCAGATTACACACAAACCTCAAAATGATTAAAAATTAGGAAACATCAGTAAAGTCTCATAGATTTGGCTGTCAAGCCAGGAACAAGAAACCCAAGAAGGTTATGCAATTATTGTCAAAAGACCATTGTGTAAAGGTGAAAAGAGTAATTGTAAATGTAATGAAACTCCACCAAGCTACCCACATAACAACACTCTAGGAAAACAAGACTGGGTGTCAGAGGTTGTCATATCCCTTCTGAAACTGCTCAGATGAGTGATTTCAAAGGTTTCTTTATCTCAGACATTTTAGATCATGAAATGCCCTGCAACACAACACAATGCAAACTTTCCACTTTTAATTAACTCAAACTTGTATCAGAAAAGGAGGTTTGTAGAATGTCACTGAAGCAGGAGGAAATGGCTCACTGAGATTCACTGACCGCACAGAAGAGAGTGGGGCGTAAGTTTGAGGAGAAAGGCCAGCTCGCAGGTGGGGTCGTCCCCGTTTCTGGCCACCACTGTCCAGATGCCGGGTGTGTCCAGAGGCTGGACATCATCCAGCAGCTTGCCGCGTGTCGGGGGGCACTCTGAGCAAACGTGCTCAGAGCAGAAGCCTGTCCTCAGAAACCCCTCACCTCCGCCTTCTCTGCCCTACTCAGCCACCTCCTCACCCGGACACTCCGCCCTCTGTCAGGGAGCACGGAGTCCCAGACACGGTGTTGGCGCCGGAGGCGCTCGTTTTAAAGGAGAATTACAAAGATCGCGAACGCTCAACCCACAGAGACATACCTACTTTGAAGTGTAAGTGAGAGCAGTTCGAAAGAAAGGCCTTCCCTGCCCTGACTGATAGTCCTAAGGGACAGAAAGGCAGAGCGGCAAACAGTGACTTCCTTCACTGAGTAGCTCAGGGTTTTTGGGAAACAGACCCGCCGAGCCCAGTTGTATTTAAGTCCCGAGTCACGAGTTTTCTTTCCCTGTCCTCCTAACCCGTCCCCACCCCTGCTCTCGGCCCCTGTGGCCATGCGGGGGTTTCAGACTGTTGTTTCCACCTAGAGGGAAAGCTGTCCGTGGGGCAGAAAGAGTGGACAGCGAGGGTGTGTGAGCAAGACTGCACAAGGAGGGAGCTGCCCTCTCCAGTATGCAGGAGCCGGGCTCTGTGGGCAGGCGCAGTCCCCTGGCCCTCGCTGGGATGGAAGTCTCCTGGCAGGGTGGTGAGGTTATACCTGAATCAGCGATAGAAGAGGTGGGTAGGCAGCCTGGAAAGGAATTAGGAGCCTGATCCCTGCTCTGATGCCAATTTCTGGTGTGAGCCTGGGCAGGTCACTTACTCTCAGGGCCTCTGTCTCCTCGACTGAACAAGGAGGAGCTCAGTGGGCAAGAACTTGTAAGATCACCCTTTGTGCTTTTACAGTGCTGTGGTTCTGTGAGCAGGGACAAGACACCAATCCAGAGGGTGCCTGGCATAGTCCTAGAGTTAAATTCCTCTTAGGTCAAGATAAGTAGCTTGGAGACCATGTAGGACTTGCCTTCTAGATCAGGACTATTTTATTTCTGGTCCTTCCGCTGAGGCAGAGGGGATCTGCTTGGAACGGGTGCCTCATACAGAGTGTAAGTCATCGGGCGATGATGCTTGGTGGGACTGGTCTTGAAGTCTTTTCTCGGGTGAGCAGGGACAGCACCTTTCTGCTCAGCAATAACATGCATGCCAGTGGGAGTGGCCCTCCGACTCTGCGGAGCCACTGCACAACTCCAGAGGGCACTCTTCCCTGAAGCACCAATCCCGGGCAGAAGGAGGAAATGATAGCCCTGAATGACAGTACCAGCAATGGGAGCTAAGATTTACTGAGTACTCGCCCTAAGTCAGTCCTGGGCCACGTTCTTCACGTGCGTTATTTTACTTCATCCTCCACAACAACTCTTTGATTTCAGTACTATTTTCCCCCTTTAACAGACGAGACTTTTGAGGTCAAATGAGCTTCTCAAGGTCGTAGAACAGTAAATGCTAGAGTTAAGTCTGTCACTCTGGAACCTGTAATTTACTCGTTATGAGAGTCCAAATTCTAAAGCCAAGTTCAGATCCTAGCTACACTTGGGCCTCAGGTAATGC